GGATGAGGAGGGATTTGGGGAGACTGGGTTGTGGGCAGTACTTGTCACGGATGCAGAGGGACACCCCTTCTACTGTAATCCACAATACAGTGAGAGAGATTGAGAGAGCCCCCAGATAGAAAGCCCCGTAAAGGGTACACCCAAGGTCAGTCACAGGCTTATGAAGCCCTGGAATATGTGTGCAAGAGCAGGCTAAATTTCTACTGACCAGAATCACCCTGCTGACTCCGTGAAGTCATTATGAAGGTTGTCTTCAAACATGCATTCCGCATTCAAAAGTCCAGCTACGTAAAAATCAGTATGGAGTCACTTTTCGAACATCCATTCGTTCCTCAAACGGATCATGTATGTACCTTCTCATGTCTACCCGATTCCTCTTTACTTGTCCCAATTTCCAAAGGTCATCTGAGTCCCAATTTCCAAAGGTCATCTGAGTCCCAATTTCCATAGGTCATCTGAGTCCCAATTTCCGAAGGTCGTCCGAGTCCCAATGTCCAAAGGTAGAGACACGTAAAAATTGATTTTGCAGCCTCAACTGAGTTAGCCTGTCCTAGTTGTTTACATTGCAGTATAGTTGTCCACTCAGGCAGAATTGCCTGCTTCACAGTTTAAACCACGAGTGCAGTTCAAACCGGCAGACTTGCCTGGTTTACGTGCAGTTAAAAAAACCTGCAGTGTGAACCACCGTTGGATCTGCAGTCCAAACTGTCTGTGCGAAAGAGAGCCTGTTTTGCTGAATAGGAAGAAATATCTGCCCAAGTCAGCCCAGCCTAAAACAGCAGTCCTACCAGCCGACCGCCAGAGCGAACGAGAGCTTGTTTTGCTGAATAAGGAGAAATATCTGCCCAAGTCAGCCCAAGCCTAAACATCAGTCCTACCAGCCGACCGCCAGTGCGAACGAGAGCTTGTTTTGCTGAATAAGAAGAAATATCTGCCCAAGTCAACCCCCAGCCTAAAACATCAGTCCTACCGACCGGGTCACACGGACTTTGATCGATGCATGCATATGGTGGTCGGCTGTGATACTCTTCGATAGGGGGAGTTGTCTATATGCTACTTGGCTCGCACAGTAGTGCAGGACGGCTGTGTACCCTGGGGGCACCTGCACGGGCACACCCCATGGAGGCAGAGTTCAGCCCTTCTTTTTCTTTTTTGTTCTTGGGTGGGGGTTTTCTGCGCATGCACAGAGGAGATCAAATCCGGGTGCCTTTTTCTTTCTGAGTGATGGCTGTCATGGGGGAG